GTTTTGTGTTGAGGGCATCAGGGTTTAGGTTAGCTGAGCTTGAACCCCAAAGGACATACCTGGGAGCAGTGCCAAGGTTCCAAGTTGGATACCTGAGGGGATTTCCGAAAATTAGGGGTACCTTCTTGGGGGTCCCCATAATGAGGACTATCGTATATTGGGTTCTATATTGGGGTCCCCTATTTGGGGAAAGTACCATGAGATAGTCTAACCGTCCTGGCTTGCATTGTTTGTTCCCAAGAAAATCCACTCCTTGTGAGCCTGAGTGAAGGTTCTTCCCGGCAGAGTTCTAGCGATTTGGGGCTCAGGGTTCCCTAAGCCCTGAAACCCTAAACCCTAAACCCCCTGTTCGCAAGCCTTAGAGCAACAAGCTTGCTTGCTTGCTCGTGCTTAGTTGAAAGCACTTGCTCAAGCGCCCTGAACCCCACGACAGGCCTCGCATGCAAGACGAAGACATACAGCAAGTTGCAACCCTAGTAGGGTGATTATGTGGAGGCCACATACGAACAAAAATCGTTAAAGGTGCCTCACGGTGCATATCTTTCAAGGTGGAGATGCCCTTCTGTACGCTTTATGCCTGGAAGTTGTCAATCAGCCCATCCGTTGGTACTCATTGTGATATCGGGAAGCCTGTGCCCTGACTCTAAGTTTAACTCAGCCCCAGCCCCTAGAAAAGAGCGCCTGACCCAGCCGGAGGCCAGAGCCCTAAATCCTAAACTCTAAACCCAAACCAAAATGGTAGTTTCCCAAAATCACACCAATATAGACCCCAATATACTATAGTCCTTGTTATTGGGACCCCCCAAAAAGGTACTCGTAATTTTCGGAAACCACCAAATCCTCCTCCACCCGAGACGAAATACAAAGTTCCCTAAACTCAAGCTCAGGCCCCACAAGCTGAAAGTTTCAAGCCTCACCTAGGGTTGAGGGTTCAGGGGCACCTGCTATGGGGCTAAAAGAATTCGGTATTCTGGTTCTAGATATTACAGGGTCTCAAAATGATATTGAGGCGCTATAGCACATCATCTCGATTTATACCCCGTATATAAACTCAGCTTGGATTTATTTGCCGTTTTGATTTCCAATGGATTCTCCATCATCTGGCTGGAATCCCTATCCCTTCCAGCCTAGTTAAGAAGCCCTAAACCCTGGTATGCCCCCCCAAAACCAAGCATGGTACCGCACCCAGGCCGTTTGGATTCCATGTCCGCATCTGGTAGGCTGTCAAAATCATAGGCCCTTTTGTTGGGTCCCTAGTAACTAGTCAAACATACCCAAAACGGACCCAAGCCCCACACCGAAAACTTTTAAACCCTTAACCCCTAAACCCTTCAGCTCTAAACCCTAAGCCCGAAGCCCCGAGACGGTTAATTCTGTGATGCTTCCAATAGCCAGGCCTCATGCCCTGCCATTGCTCGAGCGTTGGTCTCCGCCCTTCTGCAGAAAGGCAGGGCAGGTTTAGGGATGAGGGTTTGGAAATTTAGGGTTTGAGGGTTGAGGAATTAGGGGTTAGGGTTGAGGGATTAGGGTTTAGAGTTTTGTTTTTTTTCTCGGTTTGGTGCCTAGGGATAACACCACTAATATGGAGGATCAAACGGTAAATCAGAGTCTGAAGCTGTGAGCGCTATAGATTCATGATTAAAGGTTCAGAGACCCACAGAACTTCTTCGTACTCTGCACATCTCTGCGCAGCAAGACCCTGAACCCTAAACCAGTTAGACAGGCGCATCATGAGGCTCCCCAGGTGTGACCTGAGAACTACCCATTATGCATCAACTCATGTAGCTGGAATAGTCGTGGCTAGGGTTTAAGGCTTTAGGGTTCAGGGTTAGGGTTTAGGGTTCAGGGAGTCCACATGCCAAAAGGATTTAGGGTTCAGGGTCTAGGGTGAAGTTTAGGGTTTAGGGCTGCATTATCTAGTTAGGATGTTGATTTTGATTCTGTGGGGCAAGGTTACGACTGAAATCGGTTCATGCGGTTGTGATTGCCTTCCGCGGAAGTTATCCAAGCGGCAGGGACTTCAGAGTTTCTACCTCTCTCTGTGTGCAAGTTTATCTTCTTGGTAATAGTTGATAGTAATATAGTAATGGTAATGGTAACAGCATTGGTAAGAGTAATAGTAAGTAATAGCAATAGTGATGGTAATAGTACCAGTAATAGTAGTAGTGGTTACCCAAACACTGAACCCCCAGGTCGTCCTGGTGACAGCAGTCTTGATGGGTTTGGCAGAGTGTTCGTCATGCAGAAAGCAGACCCGCTGACTTAGCCTACCCCCAGGTCTATGCCTACTTCCTTTTCGCAAGAGCTCCAGAATGGAGCCTTATAGTAGTCCTGGTAAAGTCTCGACTACATAACATGGTAGTTTCCCTTTTCTCTTGTCCTTGACTCCCCTGGTAGCCAGAGGTAAACACGTACGCGAGAAATGTGTTCTTGCGGGGTGCTATCTCGTGTCCGGATGCTTCGTATCACGACCGATGATGCGGAGCATTTTTCAGGCTAGGGAACTCAGCCGGTAGGGGTGTTCTGTGTGGGTATTGTCATGTAACCGCTCAAAACAGATGTATGTATAGCCTCTACTACAGACCCCGCATGATCGCCTGAGAACCATTGATTTTGTTCTAAGAGCTTTCAGAAACCCACTTGTAGTGCCGCGAGGCATTTTCACGGCGGATGAGCTCCGAGCGGGCATTGAGAAGGCACTGCTGCTTTGCAGTTGCACGAGTCAGACAGCACCTCCCCCGGCACAGACAAAAACCCAGATGGACGCATCATGAAAGGGGAGTAGTCCTTGCAGGGCTCCTGTTGCGCTTCCATGCCATTATCAAGATGAGCGTTGCTATTCACAAAATTAGGACAAGGACAGCTCTGTCTCATATCTCGCGCCTAACAGAGCCCAAACTGCGTCCCTTAAAGCTCAGAACTATCTAATCCCCAGCCTGCATCGAGCCAGGTTGCCTGAAAATAGCAGACCTCGTTTGGAGTAGTATTTTGGTTGTGGATATTATATGCTGCTAGATGCCCCCAATAGAAGGCAGGATCATCTTTCCGTTGCGGTCATCAAGCCCTATATGAAGAATAAGGTTCTTACTTGGTTAGTAGGCATGAGGGAAGCTCATCCCTGTCTCTTTATAGTATATTCCTGTATTCCCTAACTCCCTACGAACCACCAGTGTGTTCTTCAACGTGTAAAGACGTGCTCCGCGCATCAGGAATCGCGTGTTCACCCCCTGGTGCTCAGTAGGGAAAGGCGGAACAGATTGTAGAGATGACTTCCGGAATATGTGGTTTAGGGCTGTATAAGCTATAGTCTAAACTCATGAAAAGGGAATTATGTAGGGGAGTATTATAGGGATTTTTAAAGAGTATAATTATACTTGGAGCTTATACTATGGCTCAGATAGGGATTAAAATGCTGCTGCATGGACTGACTCGCTGCTGAGCACCCTCGCGAGCTTCTTCCTGTCAGTGCAGGTCGATGAAGGAGACCGGAAACGCGGATCCGTGTCCTGTGTGCAATCATGCCGATTGCATGCTAGAAGTGGTGAGCTATCCGCTCCGCCTACTAATAATAACCCGCCTCCACCAATAAAACAACCAAGTATAGGACTGTTGCATACTAAGGGGAAGATTTCTTATCAGGCCAGGTGATTTGTAGACTTTGGTGTCCGAGCTCGTTCTGCTAAAGCAACTCAGCAGACTGTCATTTGGGCATTGGTCTCGTTGTGGAAGTTGCTACGTGGAGCGTCTTGGCTAACCTTAGCATGCTAGCGTGTGGCTCTCACGTAGATTTAGAGAGATTTGGTCTGAATATGCCGTAAGGTGGTGCGGAGTAAGTAAATAGCTTGCGTGCCTGGCATCCATGAAGCAGTGCTGAGATTGGCCGACGAGTCGTGGCGCGCGCCTGGATGGAATCTTGGAGAGAAGATGACTTCAGATCATGGCAACTACGCCTACTATCCTCACCTTCAACTGTCCCACCACTGCGCATCAGTCATCACATGCCGCATACTTGGCATTCCAGTAACCTTGTCAGTAGGAGGAATAGTAGTAGCAGCAGCAGCCGCAGCAGCGGCCTTAGTAGCAGCTGTATTAAGTGGAAAAGTCAGAAGAGTGGAGCTCAGTGAATAGAGCGTCTCAATTCTACAGGGGTTGTTTGCAGCCATTTTGGTGATACTTCCTGCCTTAACATTAGCCAGCTGTTTTCAGTCCTGAATCGCTTAAAAGCCTGGATCACTAAGCAGGCTATCAAACCTTCAAGCCTAAACCCTAATGCCTTTCTACGTTCAGCCGTACATCGTTACATCTGTACATGCCTAGCAATTTCATGCCGTGCAATATCTCCGCGTTGGCGAATGGAGCCTGAAATTAGCTTGGGATACACGTGCCGGTTGCGCAAGAAGGCGCTACAGCAGGAGGCTTGAGAAATTTCATCTAAGGATGATGAGCCGGCACCTTAGTTCAGGAGAACTTCTTGCAGTGACCCCGACTTTCTGACTAGATAGCTGGATCTTGAGCATGCAGTGGAAACTGCGAAATCTCCAGACTAGGACTAGGATCTTCTAGCGGTTCAGAAAGTCATGCTATGCCTGGGATACATATTGTGCTCAGGGACGACTGGGCCCTATAGCTGGTTTAAACCCTAAAGCATACAAGTGCCCCGGAAAGCAGAATCCTGACCTGCTGTCACATTTTTTGCGGGGGCGCTGTTTGAATGTGTTTGAGCGCACAGCACCGTGAAGCGTGTCTGGTTCCACTGGACACTACTACAACAACTGTGAAACGTGCCTGCCTCCCTTGGGTAGGGTTCCCATGTACCCCAAGACCGTTCCAACACCACTGTGTAACAAACCTTCCAAGAACTAGGAAAGGATGCGAGTGAGATGTTGGATTGTGAGTACTTCTGATTTTTCCCAAGCAAGCTGCTGCAACGCGGCATTTAACGGTTCGTTCCGCAGACGTCTAGCAATGAGCAACTCTAGCGTGCAGCGTGCTCTTTTCAGGTTCAAGTCGAAGCTGCTGACAGATGCCAATGGTGCCATGCTGATGTGACAGAAGAACTTTCTTCTTACAAGGTTGCCCTTTCTCCGCTGCATCATAGTAAGGATATTATCATGAGACCTGGCAATGTTGCTGGAATTAGTAGTAACAATTTAAGTCCCAAATTTCGGGAGAACCAGACTATCTTCTTTTTGCTACTATGCTTAATGATTGTTGGTTTTGCTATCAATTACTGCAACTCTTCTTTTTTCAGAGGTGCGTGCTCTGAGCTGGGCATCTCTGCCACCAACCCGACGGCCCCGACCAGGCTTGTCGTCTTCGAGCAGAAGCCCAAGGAGCCCCAAAGGAAAAGCGGGTTCGGGTCTGCGAGGGAGCGGCAGCACGAAAACTCACGTATACTATCGTGTACGCCTGATATAGCCGTATATATTCTAAAACCATATGCACAGAGAGAGGGGGAGAGAGAGAGAGCAGGGACAGAGAGCATGGTAAGAATCTCCAGCAAATTCTGGGCCATAACCTCTAATTACCACGCTCTTGACGAGGGGTTTCAACCAACAGTTCAGCCAACCACGGGCTGGGCAGGACGCCCGGGTAGACCCCATCTGGGGTCTCTCCAGAGCCCAAATGAAAGAAAGAAAGAGAGAGAGAGAGAGAGAGAGAGGAGCAATTCCCCTATGATCTAACCACTAGCTAAACAACAATCCGGCAACCCGCCGTCTGCACGAAGCATTGCTTCTGTTCTGGGAGTTGCGGCTGGCTGTTGGTGCTTAGGAGCGCAAACTTCAAATAGAAAGTGCCATGCTGTTCTCCCCAAAGAGTCATTTTGGACTAGATATGAGGCCTGTTGGTTGTGTATGGCAGGGTTCTGAAGGGGCATGCCTGAGTTGTGTTGCTACGCCAATCTGAATCGTTTCTCGGTAAGAAGGAGCACCATTTGATTGTTTGCACGCTCTGCTCCCTGGCGAAGATGGCGCAGGCAGTAGCTTCTAGCCACCACCCAAGGATACCCAAGGCATTATCTAGCGCGCGTCATTACCGTTGTAGGATTGTCAGTTGTGGAGTTTTTTTTGTTCCAGGCCTGATGCGAGACACATGCCGTTACTTGCAGCATTTCAGCTAGCAGGCTTGTTGAGAGACGCTTTGATTCCAGCAGCAAGCAGGGATTTCCATGCTACGAAACAATATGAGCACCTTTGGCTCAGCTGCTTAGGTTGTTGCTTCGACTAAGGTAGCTGCTATCCTTTGACATTGCTTGGGCTTTCTCCAGATTGGCGGCTTGGCTGATTTTGGATAGTAATATGTGGATAATGGAAAAGAAAAAGGAAACTACTATTTGGGGTTTAGTGATTAGGGGTTTAGGAGGTGGTGTTGAACCGCCCTGCAGGTGAAGCTCCATACAGCGACCATGTGCCACATGTTTGGATGTATCATTTTAAATCCTCCCATGCCCACCCATCAGTGTCATGCCACATAACCTTGAACTCAAGGAAGGATACGGATTTTCTGAAAGCGCTCACAGCCTAAACCCCAAACCCTAAAGTAGCCTAAACCCGAAGCTAGCGTCCGGACCTGTGCACATTGCGCAGACGGTACGAGAGTTCTCGGGGTGAAAAAGAACAAAAACTGCAAAAGTAGCAAGCAACCCCTGAACCCGTAAACCCTAAGCCTTAAACCCAAACCAGGGTTGTAAAAAAAACAAACCAGGTATAAGTCCAGGGAATACCGCTCACGTGCTGTTCGTGAGCCTCGCGCGGTACTGAAAGAGTTTGGGACGGACATACCTGCTGACATGCAGGTCGGAGCCAGGTTTTGCATGGTTTAGGGTTTAGGGTT